GGAATTTAGCAGGGTTTATATATCTGTGAGCTAAGCGGCTAAGCGGCCAAGCGACTAAGTGATTAAGCGACTAAGCGACTAATTGACTAAGTGATTAGTAAGCGACCGGAAGGTTCTAGCAACTAATGACTAATGATTGCTAAGCGACTAATTACTAAGTGACTAAGCAACTAAGCAACTAAGCAACTAAGCGACTAAGTGTTTAAGCAACTAAGTGATTACTAATCAACTGGAATGTTCTGGCAACTTTTATTAATAATAATAATACAATAATAAAATAACTAATACTAATAATAATAAGATAATAAAATAACTAATAACTAATAATAATAAATTGTTCTATAATATTAGGAATACATTTAGTAGTTGCATTAATAATACTAGTTTGGATTTTGTGTCATGTAATTTCTAGTGATTCGGAGGTTTAGGTTGAGGTAGGAGTTTTATTTATATTAAGGTCGTGAATAACTTGGTTAGCAAAGGTTTCTCATTGCTCTTTGTTCATTGCTTTGTAATTAAAGACTCTTTATTAAGTTCGGGTTGAATGTCTGTTTTTGCCAATAAAGACATAAGGGAAAGTTCAGGAGGATATAAGAATTTTGTGATCATTTTGAGTACTATTTTCTGTATCATCTAAGTAAAATGAATTGAGGTATTTAAGTAAAGGAAGGTGAACCCAGATGTAGTCGATAGTACTGTGATGTTTGCTACTATGTCAAATATAAGAGGAAGTATTTGTATGATCTGCCAAGTTGTAAATATTATTGTATTGTAAAAATTGCAATAATTTGTATTTGATAGATGAAGAGGTAGAGTTGTTGAGTGGCACATTAAAATCACCTAGTATTATAGGTAGAATGTTTCGATTGGTTGCTTGTTGAATCCATTAGATAATGGTATTTTGTATTTGAAGTCTAAGTTGTGAAAAAAACTTGAATCTTAAAAACCTTAAAACTAACCTAGTGTTAGTATTTTTTTTTTTTAATTTACCTAGCTTAGTGTTAGTATGTTTTTAAAATTTGAAATATTTAATTGTTTTATTGTTGTAAAGATCTAATATATAAAAAGTTTGAATCAAAGTTTTTAAAACTCGAATGTGATCTTCACATGATATTTTTGGAACTTGCATGTGACTTTTACATGATATTTTTGGAACTTTTTTTTGAACTGTTCTGACAGAGATGTCATGTTACAATGTCCAATTGGTTTCATTTTTTTTTGGACATATGTTCAAAAAAAATTGAAATCAATTGGATATTGTAATGTGACATCTCTGGTTTCTGAACTTGAACTTTTATGAAACAGGACCGAACAGGACCGAACCGAACTTTTAACATCCCTATAAAAGGTCGGTCAGCTCGGGCCGGCCCTGACCCAAGATTTTTTCATCACCCTATCGCAATCACTACTGGACACCCTAATCTAGGCTGGGTTAATCAGTATTGAAATATATACAATCACTCGTGTAACAATCTTTTATTGAACAACCAATAAAAACAAATTTTCTCTAACGCTCAGGACATATATTGGTGTTACATCCTTCAATGAAGACTACGGTTTTACATGACGAGTTGAAATAAGAGCAATAATGACTCACCACCGCCAGACATCAGTTCATGAAGTTAAGGAAACTCTTGACGCTACGGTAACTGAAAACAAAGAAGGCGAACGTTGTCTAAATAACTATGTCCTGAAAGAAGTCGTTGGCCAGGGAGCTTATGGAACGGTTACTTTAGCTGTAGATAAGCTTACTGGAAATAAATACGTAGGTGAATCAGAAATTAAAAAAAAAATTTACTTATTGAAAAATATAATTTTTTTTTCGATTAAAGTATCGGTTTTACCGCGATAACCTTTCTATATAAAACTAACTATATTTTATTCGGAACATTTCTGCAAAAAAAAAAAAAAAAAAGGCTATTAAAGAATTTAGTAAAACTCGACTTCGTAAAAAAACCAACTATTTCCGTCGTCCGCGCGATCGTGGACGTTTTGGCAAAGCTATGGGAAATTACGATCCATCATCATCGGACCCTCTTTATTTGATCCGTGGTGAAGTTGCTGTCCTGAAAAAATTAAATCATCCAAATGTGGTTAAATTGTTCGAAGTGTTGGACGATGAACAGGATTCTTTGTATATGGGTAAGAATTTTTTTTCTCCCCCTCTCTTCTTTTCTTATATTTATTTTGATTGTGAAATTTGAATTATTATCGGTTAAATTAGACTTATGATAATTATAAATCCTTCAGTTTTGGAAATGTGCGAAAAAGGTGTTCTTATGGATATCAGCATTCAGAAGGTAACAACACCATTTTCCAATGAAACAGCACGACATTATTTTAGAGAAATGATACTTGGCTTTGAATATTGTAAGCAATATCATTAAATACGTCAACGTGGGGATTCTAACAGTCTGGTTTTAAACTGTTGAACCACAGTCAGTCATAAGGCTGGTCTAAACTAAAATAACTGATCCCTACAGTCTAGTCTCAGTCTTAAGGTCTCAAAAATTGGTCATTGGATCTAAGACTATAAAACATAAAAGCCAGACTGTTGACATCCTTAGTCATACTTGTGAACTTTCAGGTCTAATTTCCCAACTTATGTCTGTTTTACATTTAACGATTAAACAGTACATGAGCATGACATTGTTCATCGAGGTATTAAATATAATTATTATAAAGGATTTTATGATGCAAATTGTAAATAGTCTATATGGATTTATTTATTCAATTTGCTTGATTCAGATATCAAGCCAGATAATCTCCTTTTATCTGCAGAAGGTGTTCTCAAGATTGTAGATTTTGGTGTGTCCGAGATGTTTACTGAGGGGAATGATAAAATGAAAAAATCTGCTGGTAGTCCAGCTTTTATGGCACCGGTAATGTCATTTTAGTTATGAAATATATATTTAACAGTTTCAAACAATAATTAATAATTAAATCATATTCTTCTCAATCCATCTGCTTTATATACTTATTTATAGGAATTATGCGTGGGTAAACAATAATAAAGATCCGTTTACACATGGGAGTGAGTCAATAGAAAAGTACCAAATCTTTTTTATTTAAATTTTTTCAAATCTTTAAACAAAAATAACTTAGCAAAAACTTACTCAAATTTAGTAGAAATTTTTTTAAAATACGATTGGGCTATTGGTTATTTTTGTTCAAAATTTAAAAAATTTTACTTGAAACTATTCTGTGCGTTTCTACCGACTCACCCCACATATTCATCGTAGCAAAATCGGAATACAATTGCATTTGGTCTAATTGCTTGCAATTATTTTAGCCAATCGTGGTGAGATTTCTGGAAAGGCTGCTGATATTTGGTCTATGGGTGTGACTTTGTATTGCCTTGCTTTTGGACGTTTACCCTTCGTGAAAGACAACATAGTTGACTTATATGAATCGATAAGAAATGACGAGTTAGTTTTTGTTAATTTAAAGATATTGTTAAATCTTAGTTGAACATTACATTGAATTATTACTTTTTATTGCCTTATTTATTAGTATTACTATTCCAGAAGGTTCGAATCCCGACCCTGACCTTGTGGACCTTCTTCATAAAGTTCTTGAAAAAGATCCTGAGAAAAGAATTATTATGGCTAAACTCAGAGTTAGTTAAATTCTATGTTTTTTTTGGTTGTGCCTACACATTAGAGTGACTTTTTTTTTGTATATCAAAAGGAGCATCCATGGGTAAATAATCATGGAAAAGATCCTCTTATATCGACCGGAGAAAATTGCAGTGAACTCGTCACCGAAATTACGGATGATGACTTGAGCTCTGCAATTAAACTCTTAAGTTTTAGAAGCATTATTGCTGTGGTATGTAAACATTTCATTTTGTTAAACAATGAAGTCTTGTACATAATTTATTTAGAAATTTAAATTTTGTAGCATAGCGCTGTTCAAAAATTCAAACGACTGTCAAAGTCGCACCATTATTCGGCAGAAGAAATGGATAAATTGAAAAAAGATGCACAGGATGCTGAAGAAAATAAAGAAATAGAAGTAAATGAACCTATTGCTATTATCACGGAAAGTATATAGTTGTCGCAGAACAAAAAAAACGTGTGTATTTTGTTAAATGTAAGGCTTTAATGTCTACGCTTATTTGTTTCGTGAAAGTATATGTATTCAATTCTTCGGTGGGGTATTACTGAATTATTGATTCGTTTTTGGTAAATTATTGCATTGAGGATTTTGGTAAATTATCCATATAGGTTATTTTTTACGATCAAGTGTTTTATATATCTTAATATTATTTGTAAAGCATTTTTTGCAGTTATGTCACATCAAATAATTTTCATTAGTGAATGAAACTTAGCAAGTAGATTGAAATTGTTATATTTCCTTTATAATGCAAAATAATTAATATACAATTTGCTATATAGTTTAAATTAGATACAAAAATTAATTGTTTTTTTTTTATAACTGGGAATGTTGGCGGTTAATCGCGTCGCATAAACGCTAATCTATTCATTGACTTTTGCAGGAGGATCCTCATAGGCAGAAGTTCGTCTAATTGGCTAATAAATTCAATTTAATTTTACATTATTTATACAGTTTAGAGTACTTTTAAAAAAACGAAAACCAACCAT